TATTTTTGGGCCCTTTAGTTGTTTGTGTTTGTGTTTTTTTCGGTTTTATTTTGTGGACTTACTGGATGGACGTTATGGGACAGACTCAAACTAAGTATTATGATTGATCATTTCAAAGAAATTAGGGGAGGCTCAGGAATTGGGAAATTGTTAGGAATTGGATGAATTGTTTAAACTCTGAATGAATGTCTGGTGAAAGTATGTGAGTGTGGAGGGAGGGGGCCTGCCCTCTCCCCTCCTTTATGTGGCTAAAAAATAAAAGATGCTAGCTAGATTCTAGCAGCAGGATTGGCATTTCCATAATAAAGAACAGTTTTTCCAAGGAAAAAAAATTGGTCCTTTGTTAATTAAGAAAGCTTTTCTTAATGGAGGAAGGGGATAGTCGCCTCCCGCCTGTAGCAAAATCTTAAAGAATGTGGTCAATTTACGTCTGAAAAGACCAGGTAGGCCAGAACCTGTTTTGCAAGGCTCAAATGTGGTTTTCCAGAGCCGCTTGAAAGTAAAAAGTAAAGTTTACTCTAATTTGCCTCATGAAAAATCTAAAGAACAGAATTAAATCTATTGGTTGAATATTGAGAAATGCTGAATATTTAACTTGCCAGCTAAAAGTTTAAGGTTCGGATTGAATTGGGAAAAATTATGTAATTGTAATAACTAAATGCCTTTGCTTATTGGTCTGATTGAGAAGGGAGGATTGATTTTGTGACCTCAACTGAAGATTTTTGATGCAAAGACCAGTTTCAATTTAATTGATATTCTTTAAAATGATTATAAAAGGTATAAACAGCTAATAAGATTTCTGTTTGTCTACAATACAGCCACAGTACTTGCCGCTCCCATGGGGGCCGAAACAGCAAAGGCCCCTCCCTTTGATTTAGCAAAGTCTCACTGAGGCAGGATGGAATTTCAGGGGTGGAGCTTTAAGGTGAAGTTTTATGGGGCAGGAAGTGTGCTTGCCTCTCGGATTTACTTTTAAGCTAATCTCTTAAATCTAGAAAACCCTGCTTTCCTTAAACTAAGGACAATTAAAGGTTATGTCAAAGTCTTTAAAAGGGAAAAGTAAAGTACAATATGTGAGCAAATAGGTGTGGCTGTATTCCCATAAAGCAGTCCTTATTGCTTAAATATGTATCTTTGTTGTTTAATGTTAATTATTTTTGGTTTTGGATTTGTTTGTTTGTGATGAGTACCATTTCTATCTGGATGAGACATAGGTCAAGAATCCTGTCCTGGGATGTGGGAAAGGGAGGCCCCCACATCTGTTCCTGTCAGGCCCCCATCAGGGGACTTGGGCAGTGTTCCTGTTATCTGCTCAAGATCCCAAGCCCTGAAAGGGTGTAAGTGTAAATGTTTATTTGATGTTTTTATGTCTACTTGGGTATAATTATTTGTTCATGTAAGTGTGGAAATCTGTAAAAAAAAAAAACAAAAAAAACACACGCTTGATTTCTTTGAGGCTGAGTGCTCTGACTGGTAGCAAAGCGCCCTGAGCGGCCACTGGGATCTTTTTCCCTAAGGGCACTTGCTCTCTGTCAGAGGTGGAATTGGCCCGCCTAACTAGTAAACATCTCTGTCTGTTTGTTTGCTGGGAACTTTGATTTGCTATGTGATATTCTGTGCTGGGTTGGGATTTTGGAATTCTGGGGTAAATTTAAAAGGTATTTGTGGCTTTTCTAGTCTGATTGGGACATTTAAGGGTGGGGCTCACAGTTCCTCAGGGCAGAGATTTCATGGGCTCTTCCCCCTGCCTGTGCTGAATTAAATAATACAGGCCAGTGTCATTTGGCTTGCTGGTTAGAGGAAGACAATGGGCCTTGGAATCTGTAAAGGTGGGCAGGAATGAAGCTGGTCAAATGTACTGAAAGGGTTTGGTACCTGTTGCTGCTAGCAAAGGAGGGGCTGATATCCCCTTCTAGCGCACTCCCTTGAAAGAGGCCTGGTTGCTGCTCTGCCACAAAGGGAACTGGTAGAAAGGCAAAAAAGCAGAGCACTGTAACTAATAAACAGGGTTACTTTGAAGTTCGCCAAGAGAGGAGGAATCTCACTCGGAGACTGGCGGAAACCTCGTTGGGTTGGGAGAACCGGAGGCTATGATAGGGTCCGACAATGGACCAGCCTTTATTTCACAAGTAACGCAGGTAGTAACCAGGGCTATTGGGGCAAATTGGAAATTACATTGTGCTTATAGGCCCCAGAGTTCAGGGCAGGTAGAAGGGAACCATGGAAACTGGCGGGGACTGGGTGACTCTCTTATCATGTTTGGCAGGCCACCCCCTATCATTCCTAACCTTAAAGCTGACTTTCTTGCTGCAAGAACTATCTCTATCCTTGAGAGGGCTCCAGAGGGCGCACGAGGACATTTGGCCGCGCCTCTGCGCCATCTACGAGACCGGCCCAACCCCAACTCCTCATCAGCACAGACCAGGAGATTGGGTCTACGTCAGAAGGCACCGCCGGGATACCCTCGAGCCACGTTAGAAGGGTCCCTACACTGTGGTGCTGACGACCCCCACCACTCTCAAGGTAGACGGTGTCGCGACCTGGGTCCATCACACTCACGTCCAGTCAGCGGACCCATCCGTGATCCGGAAAGACTTCATCACCAAATGGAGCATCGATTGAGATCAAAGCAACCCGCTCAAGCTCAAGCTACGGCGTGCTCGACCTGCCTGATGCTGGTAACATTGAATAGACTTAGATAATGCCTGCATCTTCATGGACATGGCTCCAAAAAGACAAGGACAATTCATAGGAAGGTCAGGAATAGACTTTAGTATCACATGTTTAGTAGCAGAAGATTTGGCTGCCTGAAGCGGCCATGATGCCAATATTATGTTTCATTGTATTGATATGTTATATTGACCTTTAATTCTCTTACAGGTTTGAATGTATGTTGGCTGTCCTGGAAGGGGACTGTGTGGGGTGACGCCCAAAAGTAAAGGGTGTCTAGCTGCCAAAAGGGCAGGTGCCCAACTGGGCGGGGAGGGGTTCCCATCAGGTTTTGGTCTCTGTTGAAATATAGTTGACAGTTGGCAGCCTGTGTACTGCTTGCAGGCCTGCGTAACCATGCCCATGTCAGGGGTAGTAAGCTGGAAAAGGCCTGTTTAGAATAGAAGGTCTAAGGCATGGTTAT